ATTAGGGAAGTCTCTCATGAACTCCGAACGTACGTCGGAGTTAAGTATCGGCCGCGGGCAGGCACTGGTGGTAGAACTCGCACTCGACGACACAGGTTTGCGTAACGTCCGCGCAGCAAAGAGGGCCGGTCCACCCTACTCCTCCGCATTGGCCCCAGGTGGAAGCGCACTGGACCGAGAGGAATGAGTCAACAGCTCGAGCCGAAGGAGGAAACTTACCGTGACATCGTCAGCGCTCCTCGTGAGGAGGCCGCCGGTTTTGCTGGGGAGGGCGGACACGCCGGCGATAGCGACTGTGGCAAAAAGGAACAGCAGAGCGCGGAAGTGGACCATGTTGTCGCGGCTTTCGAGTCGGCGTCGATTAGGATTGTGTACCTTATATGGCCGCGGCTGTACCTGTGTATGTGGGTAAACTGAGAACTGTATCTGGGTTCGGTGAATTTCAGGCTGAACCCATTGAATTGATATCTCGCTGAACTGAGGTGCCAACGCTGTGAGCCCATTGACCCGAGACGTTAGGATATCAGTCAATGCTTCGTGCGTGTTATTCCGTGCCGCGAGAAAAAGATTCCCAGGTCGACGAGCAAGAGAAGCGTCGGAAGAGCGCACTTAGCCTAATGGGATGTCGGGAATGATCCATCACATGTCCTCCGACTAAGATCGGAACTTCTAAAAACTCAAGTTTTCAAAGTTTCATCGCCGCCATCCATCCGTAATTTTTCCAGGCCGGGAATGAGCCGAAGGGAATCTTGATCAGTTTACAGTGGTAGTAATCAGGAAACTTTGCACCGAGCTTGCGGGTTGAAGGGCGGCGGAGGGCTCGAGCGGCCATGGAGACTCCAGAGATCTCCTGGGTGAGAACAAAGCCACGAGATGTGTAAGAAGAGCTACAGCCCGTATAGAAAGGTGTCCAATGCCTAGCAGTGCCAGTTTTGACGCCCTCTCCGGCCAGACAAAGGTCGAGGATAGAAGTTCTCGGAGGATCTCGGGCTCGTTTATTCAAACACCGCCGGATCAATCCGAGATAGAAGATTACTTATATGGAAATTCACCGTCAAACAAAGGTATGCAAAAATCGAGCAGCACCACTCCATCAAAACCCGTATACTTTTTTGAAACAGCCGTTGTTGAAAGGCGGTGACCATCACGCGCCGTCGTCGCATCATTCCGTTCAGACTCTTACCTACCCGCTTACTCCCGTGTTTGTTCCGTGTTTGTTCCGCCCCTGCCTACATATATTCCCCGCCTCGTTATCGTTTACCTCGGCCTTGTACTCTTGACGCCCGCCCCAATTATACCGCTTGTGGCTCTATATCTCTAGTGACTTGACCTTCTAAAAGCCGTAATACATTCCGCCGCATTATAAAAATCGGGACCCAGGATCTTTCATAACAAATGTCGGGGTTAGAAGAGCCCGGTCTGCCACGAACAACTCGCGCACATGCCAGAGGGCTGATACCGCCTCGGGATCCTGTAAGTATCGCGGTCGGAGCAGGTATGCATTTCTCTACAAGTTTCTACCTGGGTGGCAGCAGTCATCACTTTAAGATTAAGCCAACGTACAAAGGGGCCGGTATCCTTTGTTTCGCCCTTCATTGGCTCGCAGGTTGAAGTTCCGTAATCTAGTGGAAGCATTAAAAGACCCATGAGGAACTAAAAATTATTGGTGTACCATGCAATCCTGTAATGAGGGTAACTAAGACGCAGGCGCAGCCGGTAAGCCAAGTTGAAGGGGTTGAAATAGTCATGCGAGAGATAAAGAAGGCCCGGTGCGCTCTTGTCTTTATAGCGGCGCTAGAGGTCCGCGAAAAGACGGGCGCTGATCATGTGTGGCTTACTACTCGGGACTTGGTGCTGCCGGCGATGGGAAGCGAAACAAGTTTCTTGATAAATTAGGCCACAGGTTGCATCTCATTTAGCACAGCTCTAGCTAGCTCTAGTCGCAGCTAAGCTAGGAACGCCCAGCACTTTGTGTCGGAATTGTTTTGCCACCGCTTTGCATCGGAATTGTCTAACTCTTGGGCATCAGTCAATTGATTGTGATGTAGTATTGCCTTGTAAAATTGAGAGATGCCAGCAGCGGAAGTTGACAAGGGAGGTCGAAGGGCATGTTTAAATTCTCTTGTAGTCAAATTCACCATACTCAATGCGAGACAGACAAGGAATTCTTTTACTTCACGGATGGGAAAAGTTAAATTGGAAAAGTTAAATTTGCCGCTACGTTGTTGAGTTCCTGAGTTCCCGTTATTGATATCGCGATGTCTTCCCGTTAGTTCTGATTGCCTCTCGGCCACGTGAAGCTTTATCCTCCGCTATTCCTCCATTCGGATCGTGGACACAGGCGACGCTCCCTAGTTAGCAAGCAGAAGTGCTGCCGAGTTCACCGGTCTCCGACGCCTGCCGTCAGGGCGGCACTTTGACCTCCCGTTCCGTGCTCAGCGATATCTTGGGTTGTCGAGGACGCTATTCGTAATCTGCACCGCTCCCATGGGCGGAAGGAACGTGAATGATGCACAATTTATCGGTGGCATTGATTGTCTACTGTGCCAGCGAAATATGAAACCGACTTGACTCCCAACCGTGCGAAGAATGCTGTTTTAAACATTGTAGTGTGGCGGGCTGCAGGTTTAGTAAAGGTAGGCGAATTTTTGCGCAATATTGGGCCGTGAGTTCCGTATTCGCACTGGGCATCGTCCTGGGTTGAATCGTCGTGGGTGGTCTGCAGTGCAATCGGGGGAAAAGGAATGCAGTAGAGAACGTATGCTGGCGCCATGAACAGAGGTGCACATATGTACACAGGCGCAGAAAGAAACCGTAATGAATTGAGACATGTGGTAGGACGTATCCATATGTGACCGAACCGAGCAACCTGAAGAGTCTTTGTCGGAGTCTGACCTGAGACGGGATTTCTTGTCTTCTACTTGTATCCCGTGCGTGTGGCCAAGCGATGAAACAGGATTCCTGAGGGAAATATATATGGCCAAACCGTCAAATAGCACGGATTCTGAATGGAAAGGCGAGAACGCTGGATACTTACTTGTTGTGGGCTGTGTGTGGTAGTAGTTGGCAACAGCTTTCGATGATCGCCGAGCACTGATCGCGGATCATCGATCACTGATTCACCGCTTTTCCTTCTCCTTCTTCGTTCTTCTCCACGATTCCACCTTCCTTCTTCATTTCATGTTTTTATGGCGTACGCCCTTCTCGCTCGTCTTTTCGGCTGCCGCCTAGGATGTCGTGTCCGTGCTCCTGGCGTCGAATCCGCCGTACGCACGCCTGAGCCTCTTTTATCGTATCGTTGACTAACCGTGGGTGAAACAGATCATCCCGAACGAAACCTCGCGTCTAATAGAGACACCAGCGTCGTGCGTCGCATTTCCGTTTTGTTTCGCCATCCCCATGCTCCGCACGGTCGGAAAAGCCCAGGGGAAAGAAAGTAGGCACAATCTGACTGACGGGCATCGCATCGTAGGCCGGCACCGACAATCGTCGACCATCAAATGCTGAGTGATAAATTCGACAGCATCGTGCGCGCGAAAGAGGGATCCGTGCAATCAATCATTCTGATTGTGGTGGCACACTAGTACTGACGAATGCATAACATTACAGGAAGATGGTTAGCGTAAGCGCGCGCACGCCATTTACGATCCACAGCAGCAGCAACGCGTACCCTGCCTCCCTGCTGCCCGAAGAATCGAGCAGCGCGGGTATTGACTCGCATAACGTGAACCCCAGCCCGCGCACAACGACGAGCCGACGGCCGCCGGTGCTCGTTTTGACGCCCGCGCAAGCGAATGTCAGGCGAGGGCCGGAGACGCCGTATATGCAGACGCACATTCTATACTCCTCGCCCGAGGGCTCGCGCTCCTTCTCGCGCCGCCCCCGTGTCCGCTCCCCATCTGCGCACTCGGGGCAGTCGACAAATTCGGGCAAGGCGCGCGCAACGCATCCGAATTCTACGGCCAACTCGGACAAGGTGCGTCTTCCAGCCGCGAGTGCGAGTAGCGAGTGGCTTGCGGAGAGCGTGTCCGAAGTGTCTGTGAAGGAGGAGCACGAGGTGCGCGTTTCTCCTTTTCTTTGGTGCCACTATTTCTGTCTTTTCCTCATCCTTGGTACGCCGGGTGCTAACCTCATCATGCTCCAGTCATCCTCCCCCATCCCCATCGCGCACCTGCCCGCCGCAGCCTCGGACGCGCAGGGCATCACGTTCTCGTGGGACGATACTTGATTTGCTCGCATCACACGACCTCCGGCGCGGACAAAACTGCATCGGAAAATTCACTTTACCGGACGACTCACTCACATGATGCACCCGACGCACTTGCGTCGCCTGCGGAATTTCGGACGGACTCGATTGTAAGATCACGGACGAACATGTTACGCTATTGTCTCTACGCCCCTCCTTCCCTCTGTCACCCCATCTTATCTTATCATACGCTTAACCCACCTACAGCTCCCCACCTCTACCCGGACCTCCCCACGCTGCTTATCATTCCTCGCGTACTTCTCACGTCTGCCCACCCCACTCCCTACTTACCTCCTCTTCTTGACCGAGACTCCGACGAACACCTAACGCGCACGACTCCTATCGTATTGCTATTTATCCTCCCCGTCCCCGATCGGTACGACGAATTACGAAGAGGGAGGGTGTTCCATACACACTCGAGTCTCTCTCTCCCTCCTTACCCTGTGTATACTACAGACTTTAGGTTGCCATCTAAAAAACGGGAAGTTCGAATGGAATTGGGTCAGCAGGAATCGAACCTGGATCTTTCTGACTCAGCTCTAGAACTTGGAACGGGGCGGGTGTGCCGTACACCACTCTCCGGGTTCGTATTAGTTTGGAGCCTGGATAGCTTACCGTTTCTTGAAGGGGAAAATATGAAAAGCGATGATCCTTACATCACACCGAGTTTCTGCCTCCTTTCCCCCCGTTTGTATCCCGCTGATTTCTGGTACGCACTGGCAAGGTAAGAAATAAAACGTGGGACACCAGCAATCTCGGGCGCCAGGAGTCGAACCTGGGTCCCCCCCATTCATTCACTCTGGACAGTCCAAGAATAGAGAACGTGTTTCGTACACCACGCCCGAGGTACTCGATTAATTTGGGGCGTGGATATCCTACGCGGTTCTGGCGCCGATTTTCTATTCGGACTTGGGATTCAGCAGGAATTGAAGATCCCGCGCATACTCGCACACGAACTTGGCAGAGCAGAGACAACGATGAAATTAGAGCAAGATGGAGCGGGTTCTGTACACCCGGCCCTCTCCTATCCAGGGTTGACTTTCATTGCGATTTCAATTGCGCATCGAAACGTAATAGCACTCCTCCTCCTCCTCCCAGCTCCTGTCACCGTGAAGGGCGGAAAGGTTTCAAGCACCATGGATGGAAGTGCTGACGCCAGGAGTCGAACCTGAGTCCCTCCCATTCATTCACTCTAGACAGTCCAACAATAGGCGAGCGTGTTTCGTACACCGCACTCGATTAATTGTGAACCTGGATATCCTGTTTTTCTGCTGTCTTCGTGTATTGTACACCGAACTTGGTACGCATGCGGAAGGGAAATCAAAGAAGAACAAAAGGCAAGTTTGGGCACCAGGAGTGGAATCTGAGGTTGTTCTCTCCCTCTTCTGTCGGAAAAATCCTAGTCGGGTTTGATCGTCGTTGAACGCGTTCCATGCCGTTACATGGTCACATGGTTTTAGGTGGCTTCCAACGCACAGGTTAGAATCCTCCAACCACTTCAAAGCCACATCGTGAGTTCCAAGCTCTGCCATGGACCAAGGGGGCTATTGAGCCTTGCGACTGCTTCTGTGGCTCTTAAACCCAACCAGGTAGGCACATAGTATTCGGGGTTAGTATTCCCGATCCATTTCATACAATAATCAGAAAGAACGATTGAAATATGTATATTGCAATTATAGCTACTACAGTACTAATTTAATACATACGATTGGCGGGCAAATCAAGTCTGAAAAACAAAAAAGATCAGCGCGGTAGATAAAATGAGTAAACAATTGACGTACCCAAACCACCGTAGGCAACCTAGAAAGACATTTAAGATCAGCGAGGCCGGATAGATGAAGAACGGTGTGTCACCAACGAGCTGCGAGTGGGTCAGGACGAGATTGGAGACGAAAGTGTGACAAATGGCGTACTTGGGCGGCGAGTGGAAAGAGTCAACTAAATGAGTGAAATCAATCGTCGGGACAGAGCAGACAAACCTCGAGAGGACGAGACGAGACGTTAGGGGATGGTGGGGGGAAGAAAGGAAGAGAGTGGGGTTGCGGTGTCACGCAGTGGGGGTTTATGTAGTACGTGCTCCAAACCATGACATCATCACTCCACCTCACCCAAAGTGTCCAATCTTTGGGAGAAGGATGGTATGCATTGTATTATTGATTGTATTGATGAGGATATGTACCTACTACTGACAGCTAAGTGAGAAACGATAGACACCTTTGCATTTTAGAGCAAAGTTCAGGCCGAGGCCTTGCCGAGCGGTATCACTTATTTTCGTCTCTTTCTCTCTCCACAATATGACGGTACGCGCTGCGCATGGAGCTGTGGAGCTGTTGATATAAGGTCTCAACAATTCTTCAACTCAACACCCGTACTTCACTCTACTGATAGTAAACATGGCAGACTATCCCTATGGCTCAGGCCTTAGTCCCGCTGCGGCTTACATTCTCAGGCTCGGCCCTCTTCGACCTTCTACCAACTGTGAGTTAGTAGTTGCAGGTATGAATGCGGTGCTCGACAGCGGTATGTTTGATGAGACGCGGCACTTCGAGCAAGAGCGTTATTCGGACGATGATGACGAGAATAAATATGTTTACGCGCATTGCAATGTGCGGTGGGGCTTGAGTGGGGCGTGTGGAGCCACTCGGCAAGGCCTCGGCCTGACCTTTGCTCTAAAATGCAAAGGTGTCTATTGTTTCTCACTTAGCTGGAATAATGTAGATTAAATGTATTACCCGTCTTCCTTGGCCTCAAAAAATGATAATTGTTGCTACACACCTTCAGACGGCATGGGACAGCTTCGAACTTGCATCAAGCCTTCGCACGGCTTGGGACTGGTTCAAAGTCCACCCGCGTCGCCTTCGAAGCACTCCGAAGCCGTCCCAACGCCGCATGCTGTACCATGCCGTTGCATGCTGACAGCCGTTTTTCCGACATCATTGTTAATTACACGCGGAAGAGGAGGGGGAGGGTGGGCCGTACCCCGCACCCGAGTACTCGATTAAGTTGGAGCCTAGATATCTTGACGATTTCTCTTGGAATTCAACTTCAGAAAAAAAAGCATGCGTGAAGAGTCGTCCCGGGCGCCAGGATTCGAACCTGGATCGCTTCCACTATTGTACGATTTAGGCCACATACCAGGAGGGAGCACTATGTTCTATGCACCATGCCCGAACACCCATATTACTTGGAGGCTATACATATCATACGAGAGTTTATGACCCTCAATTGGATTCAATCCCAGTTCATAAAATTCAGGCTCTCTGGACCCGCCGACTCCGACCGAGAGAAGACCGTTGCTCTACATTCGGAAATATCAAGGGATGAGGAGGAACGCGGTTGGAAAATTATCGCTGTTCACTACGAGCTCTTGATTCTGAGGCTCCAGGAGGCTCACGGGTGTCGGGGACTCCAAGGAAATCCACGGAAACGAGGATGCGGCGGAAGAGAGGAACTGGCCCGAGTTATGCAAATTAACCGAGCGGGGCTAAGGAGTGTCAGCCGCGTCGTTTTCGGCAATGTTCACGCGGTGGTGAGTCCAGCTCGTATTAATAATATGTGTTTTCGCAATGTTCATATTTCCGGGACACCGCATACTCCACAAGAGTTGCAACGCCGTAAAACCGGGCGGGACTCCGGAGCGTCGTTTTCGGCGGTGGCGAGCCCAACTTGTACTAATCGGCCTTCTTCGGTTTCGGAACACCGCACACTCCACAAGAGTTACAATGCACAGCCTCGCCGTAGAAAACCGAGCAGGACTAAGGAGGGTCAGCTGCGTCGTTTTCAATGTTCACGTTAGTAGCTGTCGCTGGCGAGCCCCGGGATCCACGGCACACTAGCATTTTTGAATATTCAACATGACGTCGAGAATTCAGAAAACGGTATAAAAGCCTGACAGTATCTGCAGACAACCCAGTGCGATCCAGTCGACAAGCATAGTCATGTTCAGCGTTAAATCCCTCCTCTTCTTCACCACCGCAGCGACCCTGCTGTCCAGCGCAGCCGGCCAGTCCTGGGAAGTCATGGTTTACGAGCCCAGCGCGGGCGGCACCAGCTCGTGCAGCGGGGGCGGCACGACCATCTCCGGTGGAACCTCAGACATCGGTAACTGCCGCGAAGTCGGTCTCGGCAGCAATGCGGCCAGCTTCAACATAATCTCGGATAATGGGCCACCCGGCGCTGAATTCGCTTGTAAGTGGCTGCTACCATGGCCAGAGATTTACTGGCAAGTGCATAGCTGACATCCATCGACAGTTATTCTGTTTTCCGACAAGTACGTCTGAGTCGCGGAAAATGACTTTGGCTGGACTGATTTTTCGATGGGTTAATAGTAACTGCCAGGACAACCTCGGTGAGGAGTTGGGGCCGGGAGGCTGCTTCTCCGGGTCCGTTGGTACGTCTTCAAGCCCGTTGACGTTGTATTCAATCCTCACCGGAGCATGGCAATTTTCAGGCTCGTTCGTCCCGGTGACTGTGCCCACCTAGTCTCTCGCAGACAGACCACGATTCACATGACGATACAAGTATGTGTGTATATGTATGCAGTTTCCACCGTGTAGTTGCAGTGAATACGACAAATACGAATAGAATAGAGGCGATTATCGGAACGGCAAAATTGGATGTACATACGTCGGAGACGATTCTCGCCGATGAAACCTATGGGGAATAAGTCTGGTTTCCAACCAATCATCCGGGCGCAAGGAGCCGAATCTGGGTTTCTCCCACTCATAGCTTGGTTTGGGCGCAGAAGACGGGAGAGGAGGATGTTGCGTACGCCACGCCCGAGTGTTCGTATTACTTTGGGGGTTGGATATCCTACCGATTTTTGGTGGAAGAAAGATCAAAGGACAAATATATATTAATACAAGGCTGCATATGAAGTTCGGGCAACAAACTCACAATAAATGATAAACAATAAAACTCGTAGGTGGAATTGTCCGTGAACCAACGGGGAAACGGGCGCAAAGTACAAGCAAGGGAACGCGTACAAATGCAAATCGGACAGTGTCCGAACGCGCGCGAGACGCTGAGGATTGTGGCGGAAGTTTACGGAGACTCCATACGCGGCGTCGAGGTGCGGGCGCGGGTGGACCTAATGCAATTACGCGGATGTTGGAATGTCGTCGCTTTTATATCGAAACCAGGATCAGTGAACAAACAACAGGCAAAGGGGGAGATAGAACATTCGAAGTTCGAACAAAGCCCAGAGCAAATACAGGAATGCAGCTCCTAGCATTTCTCACCCATATCTGACGCGCAATTAATGCCAGAGCGCCTTCCCACCCATCGGGTTAACCCTCTCCCACTTGACTATATTACCATGTATGTACAGAAATGGAGCGTGTTTCATACACCCCGCTCGAGGTTCCAGCGTGCTTAGGAAATTGGATATGCCTCGGTGAGACAAGGAAGGAAGGAACGGGTATAATTTGAATCACAAAATCAACTCGGACCGCGCCCGAACGCACAAGGGACCGAGCAATGTGCACTGTGGCGTAAGACACGCGGTAAAATTGATAGTGTCGCTTTTTTTTTGCAGTCGATTCGGAGGGAAGAAGCCCCAGGAAATTCGGAGTTGCTTCCGATAATGCGTTGTACTTCGAGTCGCGAGGACGCGCCCCTCACGTGATTACTAATATTATTCATACCACTCTCCTCTGGGGCCTGCGAAGCTCTGGGGCTTCTGGAATCGGAAAATGTCCATTTTGTTCCTCAGATAACGGATGTGACCTAGCTGGTCGGTGTCCCGCGTTCGACCATTGCCTCGCAGTATTGGACAGAAGTTAACTCGAAGTCAGGACTCAGTGGCACCAGTGGTGTCAACACCATGAATTCTGTGTTTCCCTAG